TATTTAGAATTTGGTTTCAATTTTTTTGGCGTGTAGGATCTTGGAGGTTCATTGGGACGAGAGGCTGCCACAGGATTGGGAGTGATTTTTGCAACAGAGGCTTTGTTTGCTGAATACGGGAAATCAATTTCTGATATGACATTTGTCATCCAGGTATTTCTTTACTTACCAATTAACATCATCACCATGGTTTCATCGTGACATAGATATTGATTTGATCCAACTTTCATGTATGTATATAGGGGTTTGGAAATGTTGGCACTTGGGCTGCAAGGTCAATTTATGAGAGAGGGGGTAAGGTGATAGCTGTGAGTGACATCAGTGGTGCTATTAGAAACCCAAATGGGATTGATATCATCGCTCTGCTGAAACACAAGGAAGAGAATCCCGATTTGAAGGAGTTCTCGGGAGCTGATGTCATGAATCCAGATGAATTGCTTGTTCATGAATGTGATGTTCTCATCCCATGTGCCTTGGGAGGAGTTCTCAACAAGTATGTACCTCTATGTCCATAACAAATCATCTGCATTGATGTTATTTTAGTTTTACTAAGTTTTCAAATTCTCAATTTAGAGTGCATTTTCTGAGGCCTTTTGAATTTTATTCTCATTTTTTGGTTTTGAAAATAGGAAGTAATAAATTTGTTTATCTAAGAAAAGTTATATTTATTTTTAATTTTGGTGAGGCTTAAACTTAATTTGAATATGTTGTTGAAGGGACAATGCTTCTGATGTGAAAGCGAAATTCATAATAGAAGCTGCAAATCATCCCACTGACCCAGATGCAGATGAGGTATGGTTATTGACCTGGTGTTGTTTATCATACGATGAGATATGCTGAATTTATGTTACAGAATATAATGGAAGTGATTTGTTTTTGTAGATATTGTCCAAGAAAGGAGTCATCATATTACCTGATATATATGCTAATGCTGGTGGAGTGACTGTGAGCTACTTTGAGTGGGTTCAGGTATTGGGATTAACAAAAACAAAACACTCATAGGCTAACTTGAAAGCAAAGTTCTAATTAAAAAATTTTGTGTTGCAGAATATTCAGGGATTTATGTGGGATGAAGAGAAAGTGAACCGTGAGCTGAAAAAGTACATGACCAAAGCCTTTCTAAACATAAAGGCAATGTGTCAAATTCATAACTGTGACTTGCGAATGGGAGCCTTCACTCTAGGAGTAAACCGTGTTGCTCGAGCTACTCTTCTCAGGGGTTGGGAAGCTTAGGTTTCCTAGTTTAATTATGTTGTTGCCGTTTAGGCCTTTTCCTTCTTTGTTCTCCATTAGGATCCTTTTCTTTCCAGTTATTTGATCAGTTTAGTTTAGTAGTTGAGTTTCATAATTGCCTGAGAACCACATACTGGTAGATGCGTTTCTATATCTTGCTCTCAGATTGGCACTTATGAATCACTCTTGTTTGATTATTACTTGCCTTGCAAGTTGATCTTTGATGGTATATTCAATCAAGTACTAATTTAGATCTTTTAAACAACTTAATCAGATAAAGTATGGAAAATCAATATTTTTAAACTCTAGTTGCAATTAACATTAAGACATAGTTTCTTAAGAGTTGCTAACAGTGGCACAAGATACATTATAGTATACTCCTTTCCAGAAAGTTCCTTAATTGCACACACACACACACAACAGAAATTTCTGGATCATTCTTTGTGTACTAGGATGAGAGACATGTGAGAGAGATAAGAGAAAAGGTTAACTCTTAAATGAGAAAATCCTCTAATATGTTCATGGAGTACTTGAGTTTTCATCTTGCCAAGTTGCTTGCCATTGCTCATCATAAAATGTAATCTCTTTCCACAATTTCTTAAGAGTTTCAATGTCCTCATTCTTTCGGACCACAAGTATCCCAGCCACTGCTGCGAACAGAAGAGTTTTGCAAAACAAGTTGCTCATTTGGTCAACTACACCTACTCCAGTCAAGCTATCAACCACATAGGACATAAAGAATCCTATCATTGCAGCACGACCTGCACGATACTCAAACAAATCAGAAATTGTATTTTTACAATAAATTTGTACAAGAGAAAGACAAGAAGAAGAGAGATGATAGGAAAAAAAAATTGTAAAAAATTATCATATCAATAGCATTACTTAAAAGGCGAAAAAAAGTGACAGAAGGATTTTATTGTTTATCTACTTGAAACACTTTAGGCTCTAATTTCTAAAATAGTCATCAAAACTAAGTACTAACCATTAAGTAGTTCAGCTTCAGGAAGATGGAACCTTTTTATCCATGCCCACCAAGGTATGATGGCGGTGTTAAAAACTACAGGGCTATCATTAGTAGATGCTTCCGGATTGCCCCAAAGCCATTTTCTTCTCTTAACCTCTGGAAATAAACTCAGATGAGGGAGTGTGTATTAAAAAATATAACAATAATGAAAAGAAAAAAAAACTAACATCATGTGAACTAGTCCTTAAATTAACTGTTAAAGTGTTTCCCCCTCAAATAAGCAACGAATACAAAAACAGAAAATGAAAACACAAAATACGTAAATATGTAGCCACTAACAAGTAACAAGGAATACTTTATACTTTGTTATGCAAAGTGTAACAAAAGAATTGATAAACTGACCAGCATCAATAACAGCATCCCAGTCAGTGTTGCCATTAGTTTTCTGAAATTGTTTCAAGTCCCAGGTGCCTCCTACCCATCTTGGGTCCTCAAAAGCTGAATCAGAGGTTTCAACCTCATTGTGAAGTGAAACCTTCAAGGGAGAGAGGAGAAGCAAAGCATTGTTGGGTCTGGGAGTGAAACAGGTTTTGGAGTAGGATGGTGAAAGTGCGGTTGAGAAATGAATCGGAGGAGAAAACGAGGCCATGAATGTTGTCACTGATGGCTTGCACAAATGTGGTTATATGCATTTAACAAAACTTGGTTACTATGTCTATGGTATAGCCTCAGAAATGGGCACGTGGGAGTATTTAATCCGCAACATGAAATTATTAGCTGGTTGTAGATCATATTATTCATAATTAGTTTATAATTAAATAATATTAAAAAAAATGTAAATGTATAATATAAAGTTATTACTCGGATTATAGACATATGATCTTCAACTATCAATAATTTTTCTTTTGTTCGCGGTAGATCTTACGTGTTGCGATATATTGGATACACATCAATGAACAACCACGTGCAGTTTGGAGTGTGATCCACAAATTTAGTAAATATTGAAGTGCCTGAATCAACCGACATATGCAAGTGCAACGCTGTTTTACTGCAATAAGTAGTTTAAAAAAATGTAGATTTTAATTCATTAAAAAAATATTAATTAAAAGAAATAAATAATATAAAATATACATTTTAATTGATAAAATATATATAAATATTAATTAAAAAAGAGAAGTAGATAATTCATTATCAAATAAATTAATTATTTTTTAGTTTTATTAAATTAAATAATTAAGTTTTATACATATAAACGGAAGTAGTACTAGCTTTTAACAAAATGGAATCTAAATAAACGCCATCAATGATGGGTGACTTTAATCCATATTCTTTTAATTATGTACTTTAATTTTAACTAGTAATTTATTTTACATAAATTAAATATTTATTATACGTATTAAAATTTATAATAAACTATATATATAAATAAATATTATATTTGAATATATAAAGA